AGAGAGAGAGAGAGAGAGAGAGAGAGAGAGAGAGAGAGAGAGAGAGAGAGAGAGAGAGAGAGAGAGAGAGAGAGAGAGAGAGATGGCGGGGATGGGACTCATGGACGATCCACTTCCCCAGCCGCGCCTTGGGGGCGGGTGTCCGTGGAACCAGAAACTAGTCCTGCCCCCTTGATTGGGCTGTCCACCGCCGTCTCACCCAAAAAAATGGGAATTGCCCGGACCCTGTGAACCGATCCACGCAGTAACAAAACTGTGTAATACAAACATCCCCCCTGTCCCACGCGCAGGCCTGAGTTTTAATTGCCTTTCTGAACTCAGGCTGGTATAGACCTGCCAAAAATGTTTTTTTTTGCCTATTCGAAACGCTACCTGTGACCCAGGAGCGGTGTCGCGCCCCCACTGCTCCAAGGGTCCGGTTAGATGTCCTTCCCCGGACCGAGCTCAGTGGGTTGGAGGACTGGCAGGCTGTCACGCAGGATTTTGATAGGTATAAAGATAGAAGTGTGTTGAGAGGCAGTCACACTTTGTCATACAGCCGAGTAGTCAGGGTTATCCCTCCTGCCAGCGGCGACACGGCTTAGAGTGAGGCGTTCGGGTTTATCGCCTGCACCTGACCCCGTATAAAGGATACACCCAAGGTCACCGGAGTCCCTATCATTCAGGAGTCCTTCGAGCTGCCTTGAGTGTAACTTGTATAAAATAAGGAGAAAAATAACATACATGCATCATACAGCAATTGACACTGATAAAATAAGAAGACCAGAAACCAGACTCTGCAAGAGTATGACCAGAGATACGAGACTGAAGAGTATAATACACAGAGTATGCAGGGAGCAGCCATTGGAGGACCGCAATCACTAATAAATAATAATGTCGAAATACATCATAGTGACTGAAAAGAGAGAATCCTCAATCAATGATAATGAGCGGTACCCCCTTGTGAGTGTGTGTTGCCGTCTGGGACTCTACATCTGGCGCCTCGTCATTGATAACTCGCGTGGCTATAGACTCTGGAACCACATAGCTGATGTCGAGAGGCGCTGCTGGATCAATCTTGCAGATATAGGCCATGCATCTGACCATCTCCTCGTCTGCGACGCTTCTGAGGTAAAGCTCCTCCACAAGAATGATGTCACCTGAAGCTCCGATCAGTATCTCAATACGTCCTCTCCCGCCAGAGTAGATGTAGGAAACCTCGAGAAAGCGATCTCCGTAAAGAGGCTTTCGATAAGCCTGCATAGCAAAGTTCGTCCCGACCAAATGACTATAGCCATCTCCGAGGTATGGGACCGGACCCTCCCCTCTTGGGGGACCGATAACTGTCTCAAATCTAGGGTCGTCTGACATATAAGAGTCAATCACCCTCAAGAAGATACCGTGCAAGAAGATGTGCGATCCTCCTCAATGTCGCCCTCCGACGTCTCCGCTCGCTGGTCTCCAGCGCTCCTATCGCTGTCCACAAACTCAATCTCTGTGAGTGTCCCAGTCGAAATAATCGCCAAGATCAATGTCACTCACAGAGCAGGGCTCCAAGTCCGACTCATCCGTCTCTGATCTCTGGATGCATGTAGTGATGGCGACCCCGGATCTGGCTATCCCTCTCCTAATCTGGTCGTCCCTCCGACTCTTGTCCTTCCTGCGAGACTCACTCAGGGGCTTGGGGTTGCATCCGTCAAAATCGAAGAGCACGCCCCCAGGTGCTGAGGGTACGCGAGGGAACACCACGTGTAGCCAGTTGTCCCTTCAGTAGCTCTCCCTGCGAAATATGTAATCCGCAATCCTGTCGTATGTGATGTCCTTCACTCCCGTCTCTGCCCCCTTCACCGAGTAGGTGATCACGAGCGTGTGTCTCGAGGTCGAGGACTCATTGACTCTGATAGTGAAACTCTGATGTCCCACACCCGAACGATCTTAGCCAAGCATGCAGTTTTGGCGCATTCCCTAGACTCCCTTCTGTAGCTCGCTTAATATGCTCCTGCCATCTAAGTCCAATCCTTTGCGTCGTGCACCCCACGTACGTATGACGCTACCACGGACTCACTAGTACATACACTCCCGAATTCTTGACCGACACATCCCCACCCTTGGTTTTGACCCACCCGATCCATTTCTTCGCCCATGGGAAAAACCCGTTCACTACTGCCAACATGAAAATTATTGCAATCTTATCTTCATGCTAAAAAACTAAAGGCTGATGCAACACCTTACACCTTTCTTCTCTTGATTTTAACAAACATTTCAACAACCAAAGATAGTCCATTCCTCTTTCCCTCACCTTTCGGCCAGACGCGAGAGACGAGTTGCCTCATTCTCGTATGCAAGCTTCATCCGGCACTTTACCAACTCACCAATGGCCGTCTCCCTTTTTGTCCACTCAATCCCTTCAGAGTTGCATAAGTCCCTAAGTTCTGGAACCTTCTTCGCTGATAATTTCCGATGCAAATCCAAGGCAAAATCCAGAATCTCCCCGGCACCCCGACAACTCGGTGGCGTACGCAGTTCATCAGGTACTTCTTCAACCACTATCAGTGCTGGTCGAGTGCCAATCTTCGGTGCCCTCGATACCCTCATGTTCTGGTTCTCCTTCCTCTTCTTTCCCTTCCTCCTCTCTATCGCATCGATCAGTCTCCCGTCTTCGTGCTTGACCTCCTCACTTTCGTCTTCAGATTTTTCTAAATAACTCGTGATCTCTTTCAGCATCCGCGCTTTTGTTGTAGGAGATTTCTTGACTGGCACGTGATAACTGCTTGATGCCTTCGTATGCTGCGCGAGAAGTCTCAACAATCTTGCCTCCAAACGAGCCTCCCTTTCATCCGCTTCTCTCAGTCTATCTGCTTCTTTCCTCGCCTCCTCTTCTCTCCTCATTCTGTCCACCACTTCCTTCTCCCTTCTCTCTTCTTCCAACTTTTGTTTCCGTATCTTCTTCCGAAAGTACTCCTTCATCTCGGCGGTTTCTTCATCGATCTGTACTGGAGCCTGGACCGGAGGAGGTCTCCCATTCCCTGCGCTCCAGCAGTTACGAGCAAAATGGCCGACTTTTCCGCATAGGTAGCATGACACTCCCCCAGCTTGATTGGTGGGAGGAACCACCGCCCCGTAGGTCGGCTGCTGCATTCCGTTAAACGGCAGCTGATTAGCCATCCGTCCTCCTCAGTTCTTCCCTTCTCCTCCTCCTTACTCTATCCCTCACGATACACCCTATACTAAATACCCTTCCTAAAATATTCCCGAACTCCAAGTATACTTCCTCCTTAGTCGTAGAATTAGGAAAATCAAGTGCCACAAAAACTAGCGGTGCCAATCTATATTGTATCAACCTTTGAAGCGCCAACCACTGCCTATCTAATTCGATATCTCTAAAATTACTACCCGACATTACCAACCCGCTATGTTTCGAGAGATACGAAAAAAGACGATCACGCTCGCATTGCTGTACTCCGTCACACCCTCCCGAAAAGAACATCGATCATCGTAGTTGCGTTTTGTCGGGTCCTCACGCTATCACAAAAGAGGTCCGAGAGAAAACGCGAACAAGATGGTCAGTCACCATCTGAATCTGGTATACTTCCCATGTAGGACCCGGAAAGTAAACCGAAACACCCAAAAAAGGGGTTCAACCACGTAGCCATCGTGTTAATGTCTAAACACCCCGGTTACCACGCTAAGAGAGAAGAAAGGAGGGCAAGGAGACACGTGGAAAGAAAGGGAAGAGAAAGTCAGCGAACAACACAGCGGGTGAGTCCACCATAACCAACTCGACATGTGCTCGTCAAATCGCGCAAAAAAACACCAATTTCCCATATGGTAAATCATACAGTATAGCTCATCATGTCCACGCGTCGCCCCGACGCGTTTCGTCGCCTGTGTAAAGGCGAACTCATCAGGGGGCTTTCTTCTAACACCTGAACCACCACAACCAAGTGTAGTGATAACTGGTCGCTTCTTCCTTAAGTACTGTCGTACATCTCTCTTCCACGTCAATCCGTACCTCTCAAAAAACCTCCCAAACCCCCTCTACCCTACTTCCCTACATACTATGTGATCCGTACAAAGTGACATGACTGTTCCCTCCAAAACTCGCCTACTAAGGATAGTTTTACGTGTCTCTGCTGTACCTCCCGATCGTCATACATAGCTAACTATAGCATTAACAGTCCTTCTTCGCTAAGCATCCTGACTAAGTATAACGATGATCTACCTGGCATCAAAATAGTAAACGAGAGAAACTTTGGAACACACACAATTCATTCCCATACTTAGCGTAATCTCGCCCCGGTACGTTCATTCCCACAGAGCTCAGAGGTCGGGAGAATCGGAGGGGTAGATAACTCGAATAAAGATTCACCATGGAGTTCGAAATGAGTTCATCCCGATTGCTCTCGTTCCATCCCGTCCGCTGCGCCCAAAGGTTGGGCTGTATTTCCACAACCAAAATCCTAAAGTTCCCCAGAACCTTTCAGATAAAATACACTAATGAAGTCTAAATGATCGTACCCCGACCATGTACGTCCCATTCCGATCGCGAAGATCAAAGGGCGGGCTATATTTCAAAAACAAAAACAAAAATCAAAACAAAATCCTAAAATCTACAAAATCCTCGATAGAAGCTTAAAAGGGAACAAAGCATTTAATCTGAAAAAATCCCACCGAATTACTCTTGGAGAAGTACATTCCTTTCGTTCGCCGCAGAGCCACATTTCCAAAAACAGAAATCCAAAAAAAGGGGGGGATCGAAGCGTTATCTCCAAAAAATCCTACCGAATTACTGTCGGAGAAGCATACTCCCTCCGTTCATCGCAGAGCCACGTCTGTCAGTCGAGTGTCTCTTACAAATTTCAAAAAAGGGGTCGAAGCATTATCTCCAAAAAATCCTACCTAACTACTGTCGGAGAAGCACATTCCCTCCGTTCCTCGCAGAGCCACATCTGTCAGTCTTATGAAATTCCAAAAACAGAAACCAAAAATAGGATATCACCGGGTCCGTTGCAAACCCTGAGCATCGTATCTCATTCACAAAAATTTTGCACAACCGGGGTACGCCTTGGAGAGGAGGTCTCTCTAGGGACCACCGGTCACACTGGCGAATTTAGTCAGAGCACTGAGAGAGAGAGAGAGAAAGAGAGAGAGAGAGAGGGGGGGGGGGGCGACCTGCACGGAGGGTCGCGGCGAACTCGCCGTCCCTCTCTCTCTCTCTCTCTCTCTCTCTCTCTCTCACACACACACACACACACACACACACACACACACACTCACGCAAAAACAAGTATGGCAGTGTATATTCCCACGCTATAGCGCCAGATTCATTCGATTTTGCTCATCCTATCGAGGCGCAGTACCATGAGGCCAGCCACGACGAGAGAGAGAGAGAGAGAGAGAGAGAGAGAGAGAGAGAGAGAGAGAGAGAGAGAG